CGTGCTTTGGGAAGTGTTCGTAGATTTGAGAGGATGCTCAACACTCTTTCTCCTCTTATCTCTCTCTGTTTAGTCATTGTTTTTCCTTTCCACAGTGCCAGTCTTAGTCCAGAACCAGTCTTCTTGGTGGCACTGGGCTCCTGTGTGACAATGATATTGGAGATACTGCAGGTGTAGACACGGGCCAACGAGTGGGCTGGTCCAGTTTGCTGTGCGGGCCTTTCCCTGCCTTTTCCTGCCGTGACACACGTGCTGCTTTGTTTGCCATTTTCTAAGGCATCGTCTGTAGCTGTTGTAAGTTGACTCTCGCTCTTTTGGTGACCCCCACTCTGGTCCCATGTCTCCGGTGGTGAGCCTGGTTTGCTTCCCTCTGTGAACGGAGCGTGTTTTTCCCTTTACCCTGTGTGGGTTCCCCTCTCCCTCCTCCCCCGCTCCCCCTCCCCTGCTCACAAGCGCGGCTCTCTCCCTCTGACTGGTGGTTTAGTTCTACTAGTTGGTAGGAAAGGAGTGTTAAAACCCCCAACTGTGATGATGAAAGTGGTCATTTCTTCCTTAATTCTGTTGATTTTTACTTTATTTATTCTACAGCTGTTATACATACAGATTTTATGACTATATCTGTCTTTCTAATTTAAGTGTTTTTAGTGTTTTTCTTGTAGACAACAAAATCTCACCTCTAAAAAAGTAGTTGATAATCTGTCTTTTATGCAGTGTATCTAGTCCATTTACATGTAATTACTTTAAATTTATACTTAAGGCTGCCATCTTGTTGTTTGTCCTTTGTCCCTTCTGATTTTGTCTCCAATCCTTCTTTCCTGTTTTCTTTTGAATTATTTAAATATATTTTAAATTCCATTTTACTACATCCATTGGATTTTTAGCTATGTTTCTTTCCATTACTTTTTTGTGACTACCCTAAGGGTTATACTATACACTGAGAGAGTACACATTCTTAACTCTTCACTGTCTGCTTAGAGTAAATATTACACTGCTTCATATAAAAATGTAGAAATCTTGTAATTCCCCCCCACAGTGTGCTTTCCTTTACAATTGCTTCATATATTATATTTACATAACATTATAGACTCTTCAAGATGTTATATATGTTTTGCTTTAAACTATCAGTGTTTAAAAGAAATTATATTTTCCTATTTGTTTACCATTTCCAGTGCTGGTTACTCCTTCCTGAAGATGCATGTTTCCCTTTGGTATCATTTCCCTTCAACTTGAACTTTCTTTAAGGTTCTAATATACAGGCCTGCTGCTGACAAATACTTGTGAGTGTCTTTATATCACCTTCATTCTTGAAGTATATTTTCCTGGGATATAGACTTCTGGTTGACAGGGTCTCTCCTGCCCTGGGACTTTAAAGACGTCTTCCCCCTGTCTTCTGGGGAAAAGGACTGCTAGTGTGGGAGCTTGTAGCTGTCGTGTGCAGCACCGTTCCGGAAGCTGGCCTCAGGCCCTGGGCCATTCTTGTCCTGTTCAACTCCCCCTCACCCCAGAATATGCCTCCTTTGTTCACTCTCCAGAGCCTTCAAGTGGTTGCTTATACATTTTGCTCAGCGTTTATAGTTTCTATTGGTGGGAGGGTTGGTCTCTTGGAAGCTTACTCAACCACACAGGAATGGAACTTTAGAACTTATGTTTGAAATCTCTTTTCTACACTGCTTCCCCAAAGCAGAGTTTAAAATAGAACGTTGAAAAAGTCATTACATATATTTTATTAATTTGTTATTTACAATAATAGTTAAGTTTGAAGGGTAATAGGAAAATGCCATTTTTTTTTCCAAGTGCCAATTTACTTTGACCTTTGCAATATTAAATCTTTGTGGTTCTCAGCTTTTAGTTCCCTGGTTAATCTTCATGAGGTTCTTTTTGTGACCTATTTTTGTTTCTATTTTATTTTATTATTATTTTTTTAAATTGAAATACCATCAGTTACAGTGTGTCAAGTTTCTGGTGTACAGCAGTGTCCCAGTCATGCATATACATACATTTGTCTTCATATTTTTTCATTAAAGGTTATTACAAGATATTAAACATAGTTCCCTGTGCTATATATACAGCAGAAACTTTAAAAAATCTATTTTTATGTATTATTTGTAAATCTCAAACTCCCAAATTTATCCCTTCCCACCCCCTTTCCCCAGTAACCATAAGATTGTTAACTATGTCTGCAAGTCTGTTTGTTTTGTAGATGAGCTCATAATGTCCTTTTTCTTTCTCTTTTTCGATTCCACATATGAGTGATATCATATCATATGGTATTTTTCATTCTCTTTCTGGCTGACTTTACTTAGAATGTTTCTGTTTTAAATACTGGTTCAACATGACCTCAGACTTAAAAAAAAAAAATCTATTCCTGATTCCCTAGGCAATTTTGACAACCACCTGAATGCAGACAGCTCCTCCATCATTTTTTAAATCTCCAGAACTGAAACCTCTTGAGTTCCTGATCAATAGCCTCCATCTTCTAGAAGCAGCTGCCTGGATGTACAGCGCACGTTAGGGCTTTCTCACTCCCTTTCACTCCCTAACTTTTACCTTCTCTCGCTCTCACTTATTTACTCACTGAATCAATACATCTTTATTGAGCGCCATGTACTGCTTTTAATGTTACAGATTTAGTACTGAGGAAAAAAAGTGTAAATTTAAATTTGAGCAGGTGATTGACTACATACTTATAACCGTCTGTGTGTTATCAGGTGGTGAAAAGCACTGTGAAGAAAATGAAGCCAGTTAAAGGGATACAGACTCGGGAGTTGCTCTTCCTGCTAGAGTTCTCTGTCCCCCGGTCACTTGTCTAACTCACACTTACCCCTCTAGATTTAGCATCTTGTATTCTTTAGCTCTCAACTCCCGCCAGCACCTTCCCCCCATATATGCACCTCCTTAGTGGATTTATCTTAATTCTTTATCTGGTGGGAGAGGTAATTAGGTTTATTTTTTTTTTAGAGGGACTGGGGGGTTGAACCCAGGACCACATGCATGCTAAGCATGTGCTCTACCACTTGAGCTACACCCTCCCCCATTTTGTACTCTTTGAATTGGATATTATAATGAATTTTAATTGTTTTATACTTTTTCTCTTCCAACTTTATATTCAGGTTTTTTCTTTTTAAAAATTATTTTTATTGCAGTCACATTGGTTTACAACAGTATATGTTTCATGTGTACAAACATTGTATTTTGACTTCTGTACACACTACAGCATGCACACCACCAGAAGTTTAGTTTCTGTCTGTCATCATGCACCCTCTTTTAACCACTCTGCCCTTGGACCAGGCCTTGGCTGGCACAAGCCATGTACAGGTGAAAGTTTATACTGAAAAATTCAGTATCAGACTTAAATGCGAAGATTATTTGTGAAGAAAAAGAAACTCTTTCCATACTTAGAATTCTATCAGCATAATGCTTAGTTTTTATTCCATGTCTGCTTCTATCCCCATCTCTTCTGCCCCATAATGTTCTCGTTTGCCTTTTCGTTTCACAGTAACCCTTCACCACTTAATCTGTATTAAATGCATTTTTGTATCTAATTTCTAACTTTCAGAAATGAGATTTCTCAAATAGTGATATACTGGTTTTCATAAGTGGGAAATACGTCTTCCTTAAAATTGTATAAGGAAAATACAAACAAAAAACTATGTTTTGATGTAGCAGAATGATTATTTTACTTCTAAAACCCAGCATTCATCAAATACTTAACTACTAACAACTGTTAAGCCTGAAATAAGAACTTTAAAAAAAAACCCCAAGACGATCTAACATATATTTCCTCGCTGTGTTAAATATGATGGCTGCATTTTCCAAGTATCTTTAGGTGATACATACACAACAGGCATAGAACTATTTTATTATTCATTTTATTTTCATATAAATTAACGTCCTAGAAACACTAAAAATAGAAACACTAAATACAGTATTGCACATAGCGATCTTTGTTAAATGCCCTATTATATCATTGAAGAATGGTGATATACACA